ATGTGAACCGACTCCAGGCCTCTAAAATACACTTTAGTCATCAGCGTGTTACCCAATAACCTGAGGTTACTAAGCAAGAAAGCAGATGTAGAACACAGGGGTGGGGGATAACACAACCTTAGCTTCGACTTCCCCTTTTGGTGAACGTTGTGTTAACCAGAAGGGTTCCTGTGCCTCCAGTGGGTCCGCTTACAACCTCCCCCCCTCCCAGCCACACCAATAGGTCAGCGATGTAAATCTGGGCAACACAGCAGGCCTAGGGGTGGAAGCCAAAGATTCAGCCCATTTCCAAACCCTAAGGTACCAAGCAATTCCTTCCAACCGAAGAAAAAGCAGAACTCCAGCATCAGCTGGGAAATCACAACCTTTCTGACAGTGCCCTCTAAAAGCTTCTCAGCACCCTGGGGGCAACAGGACAAAACCTGAACCTTGGGGTATTGGCAGGCTACTTCCATCTCACGCAGCAACTCAAGTGCTTTTTCATGTAGTTCGTAGCAGCCATGTCAGTAAAGATACTCACCCTTGTACCCGCATGCAACTAACCCCTGAATTATTCATTATAACGTACATTTAGTACAGTATTTTTTAAGACCTGCCAAGGCAGTAGCAGTTCAAGTTCTCCAGACAGCTTGTTGCAGTACTAAACGTTAAGTCTCAGCATTTGTACTAGAAATATTTGCAGTGCCGAACACTGCTGTGAAAAATTCTAAGCACCTGTAGCATCTGACTCCTCTAGACATGGTTTTCAGCTCCAGAGCCAGTATTTGAGTCACTACCTGCTACACAGCTGAACGCACCTTCACCCTGACATTCTGGGTAACGCTCAGCAAAATAACGTGATGGACAACACAGATCACCTCAGCCTCCTAGGTGAGGGATTCTCATACTCTCTTCCCTACATTTTTGCCAGAAAAGTAACTGCAATCATTATATTATCACTCATTTATTACTGATTCGCTTAAATTCAGGTATAGTTCTCTCAATTTAACGGCCCCAAAATTATGTAAAATGTTTCGATAACCATCTAGAGAAAATAATGGGGAGGAGAAAAAAATTAATATTATTCTTTCATCTTCTTTTAGGATGAAGATACCATCCTGGCTTTTTTTTCTTGTGGGAATAACCTGGGGAAAAAAAAGAAAACCCGGAACCATGGTAGAAATATCCTAATAACCTTTGCAAACAAAGTCCAATAAAAGGCCTTCAGTTTCTATACCCGTTCTTCTGGGACTGCCATAACACACCGATTCAGTCATCCTGTTTATCCAGAAACAGCCACGAGCTACCTGGCTAAGCAAACTTTGGGGTCGAAGTCTCGAGCCTCTAGAGCACTTCCAAAATCAAATCCTAACAACACAAATCAATCATCCAAGAGATGACGCCATATTACGAGAACCACCACAAACTTCACCAACTCGGTGCTGGTCATACTCACTTTGAGGTGCCAAGCCAGGAAACACGACAAGATCAGACCACCACCAGTTTTTGCAGCTAGGGTAAAGCTACTGCAGACATTGCCTGTCCACCTCCAGCAAGATAGCACACGCTGTCAATAAGCTCGACCAATAAAGCCATAAGGAAGGGGTGCACGTCAATTTAAACAGTCCCACCTGACATGGGGCGTCACGGCGTGATTTCACCCCGTTGTTATTTTTACAAGGTCAGGTGAGCAATTCAGTCTTTATGCGTTTACACCGTTTTGGTGTTTGTGATCAACAGCTTCAAAATCCCTTTGTGCTACGGAGCAGTTTCAGTAACGTTTATCAATTGCTCCCCTCCCCATTATAACTTCCAAGTTAACAAAAATATTTGCTTATCTCATTCCAGCTTCAGGAAGGAGAGCTACAGTTGCAGACAGTGCATCTGTGAGTCAATAAATATCCGCACCAGGGTTTGCCATTTTTACTGGAATGCCACGGATAAGTGAACTTAGCCACATTGTTACCTAGTGACTAATTTCAAAAGCATCTTTACACAAGCAGTAACTGATTAGGGCGCTGCTATTTTGGAGTTAAAACTTTACCATATCGAGGCTTCCGGACAGAAGATGTATACGAGAGTTAAGCACTTGCAATTTAACCTTTCCAGCCGTGGCTGAACGGCCCCCCCATGCAAATTACCTTATATTTCTTTATAGCGCAGGGCAGAGGCACGGAAAGCAGAGCGGAGCAAAGTCCATCTACTACAATCTCTCTCCAAGGATGAAGCACAAGTTTTTCCTACGTATTGCTTAGCAGATTACTGGCTTTCGAGCAGAACTTTTTGCTTAGAAAAATAAAATAAAATAAAAAGCTTGCGCTGCTGCAGAGGGATACAGAAGAAAAACGTGCAGGAGAGGAAGGTTGAGGGGTAGAAAGAGTGATGATAGGGAAAACCGAGAGGACAGGGGACGTAAGGAGGAAAAAGAAAGTGAGTTTAGCACTGAATGCACGGGGAGCTGCTGAAGCAACGCACTTTGCTTGTGGGCTATCCCCAGAGCACGGCGTCGCTCCACAGCCCCTCTCACCCCAAATTTTGCCAGGTGAAGCCCGGGGGGCGGCCCAGGGGGGCCTTGTGGGGCCGTCCCCACCTCGCAGCCGGGTCCTGTAGGGCGGCGGAGGAGGCGAGGGCCTGCGGGAGGCTGTGGCCGGGAAGCTCCGTCTCTGCAAGCTTCGTCTTGCCCTGTCACTCCCTCCCGAGCGAGGAAGAGGAAGAGGAGGGCTGGGGCCCTGACAGCTCCCCCCTTCTCCCCCTCTCCCTGCCCGTTACCTCACAGCCAGGGGGGGAAAAACGCAGCGGGGGGGGGGGGGGGGGGGCGGCGGGGATGAGGAGAGGGGCACGAGGGGTGCCCGGGCGGACAAAGGGGGCACCGGGAGGGAAGGGGAAGGAGGAAAAGAGGCGAAGGGAAGGGAAAAGAAGGCAAAGGAGCCCCCCCCGTGCTTCACCTGAGGCAGGCGGAGTGCGGCAGGCGCCCGGCTGCTGTCGCGCTGCTGGCGCTGCCCGGCTGCTCCCTCAGGCTCAGCGGCACTGCCAGCCGCCCGCCCGGAGCCGCCCGCCCGCGCCCAGGCACCGCCCCCCGCCGCGCCCGCTGGCCAATCAGCCACCCGGTATCGGTTGAGTGACAGCGCTTCTGGCCAATGGGAGTCGCCCGCGGAGCCGTTGCGGGAGGGGATGGCGGCCGCGCGCCGCCGTGAGGCGGTAGCGGGGGCGCCGCCCTGAGGGGGGGGGGCTCGGCTCGGAACGGCCCAGCCCGGCTCGGCTCTGCCCTAGCCCTGCCCTACCCGGCTCCGCTGCTCCCTTCACCGCCTCCTTTCGGCTCCTTTCGGGCCGAGCCGTGCCAGGCCGGCCCCACAATGCCCCGCAGCGGCGCCGGGTTGGGCCCCGGCGGAAGCCGTGCCTCGCTGGCGCTGCCCTGTGCCCGCCCCTGAGGGAGGGGGGGGGGGGGGGGGGGCAGGGAATTGGTTGACACTGACAGAAAATCTGAGGTGAAATTGGCCAATATCGGCTAATAACGACGTTACGAGCCAAGGGGGTTGTATTAAGAGAGATGGAGATGTTGGCAGAGTTGTCTTGAGGAAGCATCTCGTGTCCAAGCAAAGCGCTTCTGGCTCAGGTTCACTGAGGCAGTGTGGAAATGACACCAGATGTGTGCGTCTCTATCACAGAATTTCTAGGTTGGAAGAGACCTCAAGATCATCGAGTCCAACCTCTAACCTAACACTAACAGTCCCCACTAAACCATATCCCTAAGCTCTACATCTAAACGTCTTTTGAAGACTTCCAGGGATGGTGACTCCACCACCTCCCTGGGCAGCCTGTTCCAATGCCTCACAACCCTTTCAGTAAAGAAGCTCTTCCTAACATCTAACATCTAGGCACAAAAGCTCTGAGAGCAGTGACAGATTTGTAGGGCCAGGTATCAGGCGTACAAAGGTGTCATTGTTAAAGGCAGAGGTGTAAATATAGGTGCACTAAGGGTTTAATTTGGCGCTGGGAAGGGAACGTACAGCATAGGTCCTCGCTGGTACATTGAGACAGAGGATGAAAGGCAGCTGGAACTGTGACAAGAGGCAGCCAAAGATACCTACACCATCAGATGCCTTCAGTGAGGACATCAGTCCCCATTCAAGTGTCCCGTAACTCCATCAAAAAGTGACAAACTTAAGGGTATTTACTGGCTGAAAGGCAAGGTTTTAAATTCTCCCATCAAAATGAGACAGAATGGGAATAGCAGAGATCACCACATATATCAAAAGGCCTTTAAGAAAAAAAAAAAACGAGAAGCTGTGTCTTCAGCCAAGTGGCTAAGAAAGGTAAACAAAAGCAAGCAGTATCAAGTCTAAGGAAGGTTTTTGAAGGAGAAAAGTAGCAGAGCTCAGCAGGACAAGGAAATACAAAAGGCAAAAATTAACTGACAGCAGTAGTCATGTGGGAAGTAAAAGGTAATAACTGGGAGTATGAAATGGAGACACACTGACAAGGCTGTCAGTCATTTTTAGGGACTGCATGGTTCAGGACATTTTAATTTTTCTTACTCTCCTCTGCCTCTCATTCTTTCATATGTACTCTGCACTTCCCAAGACTTATGTCTAAGGTCAGGCTGTACCGTCTTTCTCAGGTTTGTCTTTCTCTCTTTGTTTTTCTTTAATAAAGAAATTTGAGAAGTTGGTTCCACTCCTGTTTAATCAATGGCAAAACTTCCCTGATGACTTCAGCAGTAAAGTATCAAAAATGAGCTCAAAGCAAAGATAGCTGCAATTTTCTACCAACCTCTCCCTTACCAAGAATTATCCTATCTCCTTTGAAAACTCTGCCTGTTTCCCTAATGCCCAGCTTTATAGGTGCATGGTAGTTGAGGCAAGTCAGATTTTAATTGTCTTTCTGTAGCTTGATTATTCTGCAAATAAGTGCAAAGGTTTTTTTGTGTTGGTCTGATGGCAGGAAGTTACCCAGGAAAGGAGACACGCCTCAGAAAGAAAGAGATGAGTAAAAAAAGCTATCATATTAATTTTGTACATCCGTTACTTTCTACAAATTGGTATGATGTTTATTTGATCCTTCTGGTCAACTTCACTCATATTTTCCATCAATGCTTGCAAGAGCAAACTTGTAATGAATTGAATTCTGAAAACCAGCACCTCAACAGCAGCCAGATTTACAGGAGAAAGAAAATAAAACACCGAGCATCCAGAGATTACTCTTCAATTTGCCAGCCTTCACAACAGACCACACCAATGCTCACTTTGCTGAACTACGCTGTTAGGCTCTACGCTGGCCTAATCCAAGACAATTGGGCTTAAGCTTTTTGGCAAGCTGCAGTGCCTGGGAGAAGCCTGCACGAACCCTAAACGTAGGCACTTTTCATTTCTGTATCTCACAAACAGGTAAGGTGGCTAAATTCGTGTTGACAAATCATTTCCAAATGCCTTGTGAGGCAGAAGAAATCTCTTCCAAAACAAGTTTCTTCCAGGCTGAAAGAAGAGTGACAGGAGACAAAAGGTGTTTACTTTATCAGAGAAGTCACATTGCTAAACGCTAACCACAGTGACTTCAGACAGAAACCGCACACATGCAGATCTGGAGAATGTCACAATCTGTTACTGCCAAGAAGCCTCGACTCTGCTTTTGCAGAAGCCTGAAACATCAGTAGTTTCTGTGCAGACTCATAATTGGAATTAATACAAAAAAAAAAAAAAAAAAGGCAGCTCTGGAGTCACTTCGATACACGCACCCAGCTATAAATGCAAATGAGAACTTACAAGGTTTTTGCACCCTGTAACAGAAGGAAATGGCTCTTTGGAGCAAAGGAGGAGAGAGCAACACATTTCTGTGGACTTCACCATTTACTGCCCATGTCCTCTGAACACAAAACTTGCCTGGAATTTAGGTACCGTCTATTAGCATAGCTTCCTTTTCCCCTTGTGCCAATTCTTTCTTGTTTTGCTCCCATAACAAATGCCAAATCCGAACTGTGACGGCACAGAAGGTGGAAAACCATGAACTTCAGATGTGGAAGGAGCGAAAGCAAGTGGTGTTACCACCAGAGCATCAGAGTTTACATATTTAAACCCAAGTTCTAGCTGTGTTCATCCAAATTATAACAGGAGCAGCTGATGTAAAAGAGCTGGGACCACACTAAGGCAAACACAGCCCAGTAACCTGCCTCAGAAGCAGCAAGTAGCAGATGTTAGGAAGAATATAAGGCCTTTCCTTACAGAGTGAAGCATTTCACAGCTTCATTGCCTTGTTTTTGTGCATCAGGGTGCGATTCTGTAATGCTCTTCATCAGCAAAACTGGCTTGAGATGTCATCTTTTCTCCCCCAGCCGCTTGGTCCTAGTGCTGTGTCAGAGCCGCCGCTGCCTCAGCGGTGCTGATGCAGGCGTTTCAAAACCAATGCTGTAAACTGGATCACTGGAGTTAAAAAAGAAGGTTAAGAAGAAAAAAGCAGCTCGCTGATCTAGTTTATAGGCCCGCAGAGAGACAGAGGCATCAGCACAACCAAAGAGATTGAACCGAGGGACTGCGATGGGGGTCTTTCATGCTCACTTTGCTGATGGAGAAAATAGGAGGGACCCATACCTGCACCCCAAAGCTGGGAGGAGGGCAGGAGCAGCACCTGGCTCACTGTAGCATTTAAGAGAGTTCTTCTCCCCCTTTCCACCTCTCCCCAACCACCCACCCACCCACGCAGTCCTGTGCAAACAGCCTGCTGAGCTCCTGCTTCGTTGTGGTTCTTGCTTCAGCAAAAGAGGAACACGATTTTACTTTCTTCACACATTAATGACAAGAGCTGCAGCTGGAAAACAAAACATTCGCACACGACATCTCTGCTCAGCTGGGGTACGACTCAGAGGCAGAAATCTCTACCCATCAGTTAGGTAGCACAGTAAGCAAATTTACTTTGTGCTAGAGACCCCTCCCTGCAATACAAAGGGAGTGACACCACGTTGTAAAAGTATGTACGTATCCCAGTTGGATAAGCAGGTTGTCAAACAGCTGTGCTGGGACTGAAGTCATGGGACGTGTCCCCAGAAACACACCTAAATGAAAACTGAGGTCTCGGGCAGAGGAAAGCTCTCCTTGGAGCTTGTGAGTTCTTCCAAGCCCCGGGATGGGAGCGCAGCTCCATTATGCATGGTTGCAGACACCGCATTCCTGATCTGACATACCAAGAACAATGGCCCAGAGCTCTTTACCTCCAAGGAATTCAAATATAATCATCGCTGCCATCTAAACGCGAGCACAGCGCTAAGCAACACGCATTTTTCAGTTCGGTATCTCCACTTCCTAACCTCGTTTCCTCTAGCCCTGCTCTCTTGCTGCTAGCTATTTTCTAGCCAGCTGTAAATGCTGGGAAAGCTGGCATCCAGCACCACTATAAAAAAAAAAAAAAAAAGAAAAGGATTTTTACACCAGGAATACAAGCCATCCAGCAAAAGTATCCTCGCCCCCAAACCAACTTTTGGGACCTGAGTTTTCAGCCTTGGGTCTATCCCAGCTTATCCAAAATTCCTGCAGAGCACGTCCTGTTACCTGCCTTAAATGAGCACGGCAATTTCTCGCTGTGGAAAACAAACTGGGCATTTTTCACACAACCCGTTGTGGTTTAGCCCCTTTAGTGATAATTCCACCGGTTCGTGGCACGTAATTTTGGGCACGTCTCTCCTGGCCTCACAGCTCCGTGGTTCAGCAGTCGCTAAGGGTCCTTTATTACCATCTCAAATACCTCCTTGTCCTTCTCCCTTTCTCAGGGGGGGTAAGAAATGCTTCAGATTCCTGAGTTCAGAAGGGCTTGGGGGCATTCTTTTTACTCAGCAGAGGATAAGCTGAAAGGGGAATAAACATCCCTGTCGCCCTGCAGCCGTCCTATGCTTGTGACACTCAGGTAGCAAATATACTTGCCAGGCGTGGAGCAGATGATATTGACAAAGGGAAAATACTTGCAAGAGATTGCCAAAGCCATCTAAACGCTGCTTTCCTGCTTAGGTGGGGCTGTGGAGAGCTTTACACCATCTTTGCTTCTCTTTTCCTTCCTAGGTCTCAGGCTGGGCCCAATTTTCACAGAACCAAGAACTGAGTAGCACGGTGATGTTGCCATTTGGAAAACAGGACCTAGTTCAGAGAATCCACCAAGGTGAACGGTGGTTTTTTACTTCACAAAACTCACATTGTTTAAAGCACATTTCAGCATCTGTCACCTCGAAGAGACCTCTGAACAAAAAGCATCTAGCTGGATGTTGGCTTCCCTCTTCCTCTCCCCAAGCATCTTCTTCCTCCAGCAGGAATTGAGTCTCCCTTCTTTCCTCCCTGCAAAACATGAGAGCGCCTCGCCTCGCTTTCCGCCTGCTGCCTTCCCTGAGGTTACTACGTGAGCTTTTGCTAATGGTGCCTCTCAGCTTACCTCACATTTGCTGTTTGGTTTTGGGTTCAGCCTGCAATAGTAATCAAGGCCAATATTTGCTCACATGAAGTGGCTCTGTGGTTCTCATTCCAGGGAGCTGGCCGAGGCCAAAGCGAAACTAGCTCGAAATATTCTCGTATGCCCAAGAGATGCTCGGAACGAGGGATTTTTCCAGCGCTGTAGAAAGTCATCCAGATTCTCACTGCAGCTTTGTTGTGGGAACTGCAGGGGAACTAACTACTTTATAGCCTGCCACAATTAAAGACACTGCTTTTGCCTGCCAGAAACCAAAGTCAGTCCGGTCAAAGCCTAGCTGTGGGCCCGTTCTGCTGGGCGAGAGCTCCGCAGCCAGAAGGAAGACTTGACGTGAAGTCTTGCAAGCATTCACCCTCTTCTGCGAGCCTGAAGCCCACATTTTTCTGATAAGAGGAGGCTACATCCTTTGTGCATGCAAGTCAGCGGCAGGTCTTATAAACACACCCACAGATTCTCAGTGTAACATATTGCAAGCTCCGTGCGGCTGGAGCCAGCGCGTGCTTTGCTCAACAACCCCCCTTTCATTTCTGCCAAGATTCCCTCCCACATTTGGGACTTTTTTTTTTTCCCTAGTCCCTTGAGAGCCTCCTCAAATCTCCCAGCTTCTCCAGCCTCCCACTGCCAGCATGGACCGTTCTGTATGGTTTTGCCAGCTCGCACAGCCTTTGGAAACATATGGGGCAGCGCAGGAAGCTGGGTGCATCGCCCTGGTTTTCAGCCTCATAGTTCGGGTTGGACAGATGGAACAGAAGAGCAAACTGCCAGTACTGGCACAGAAGGCAGAAAATGAGCCCTGGGGACTTCCTAAGGCATTATCTTTGTAGGATGTGGGAAAATACTGAGATACGGGAGGTGTCATCAAGGTGGGAAATGACTTTTTAGGCAAGGTGTATGCAAGAGCCTCGTGTAACGCAGCCATCTTCTTTCCCGTTCATCAGAGCATCATTTCCTGGGATTATTCTGCAACAAAGAAAAAAATTCATGGGGCACCCTGTGTTTGTGTGACAAATTCCTGTCAAAAATCAATACCTCACTGCAGAGCAGCAGGCTGCTGGGCTGTCAGACCTCAGGCTAGCACCTGCTCTGCTGTATTTCTCAGCTATCGAGGGGCAAAAAAAGTGTTAGAGGAACCAAACCCACAGAACAGAGATGTTTTTTTTTGGGGGGTGTGAAATCTCCCTGGGGGAGGCAGCAGCTTTTGTTAGGCTAGGACGGAAGGAGTCCTGCAGGCACTGATGCCTTAAGCACCGAGGGATGTAAAAAGGGGTTCACGGAGAGAATATTTGGACTTGGAGTTAGAGACCCAAGCACGATACAGATCTAAAGCACAAAATAAGATAGCTCTCCTGTCTTTAACTTAGGATAAATGCTGTCCACTCCCTCCTTGTACTTTTCATTCACACACAAAGCAGAAGCATCCTTGCTGTTACTGCCGCACTGAGCTCTAAGCACACACCTGTACACGCACTTGTGGCCGGCAGCGAGACAGCACAGAGGCCTGTAACTCCTTGACTCTTTATAGAGGAATGTACGAGTAGAAAAGGCTTTTGAATTTTCATAAGCCGACCCTTAGATGTGGGATAGCGCAACACAAAAAGATGAAAACAAGATGCTCACCCGATGATTCAGCTTTCCTGCAAAGCTTCTTCTCGCAGCCATCATAACCCTGAAAATAATCACCCCGGCCCCTTTTTCCTGTGGGTTAAAAACACACCAGCCATGAGGATCATAATGATAAGTTTTCTGTTGTTATTCAGAAACCGTGAGAAGGGGTTTTGCATTACATGAAGAGCAAATGCATACAGGAAAAGAAGGTATGCGTATTATTGTTATTATTTTTGTTACTCAAGGAATGCTAAATCAGGTTTGGCTTTGCTAGGGAACATAGCAGCTGTCTCCGAGCTCTTTTTATTTTGATCTCTCTTGTACCTTAATTGGAAAAGCAGGGTGTGGAGCCTCCAACAAAGGCTCCCCTTTGTAGTGTGTTAATTAGGCACAGGAGTTAACAAAACCCCTCGGTTATAAACAATTACCTTTCCCCAGGCTTACTTTCATTTTCATGCCACCACGTTTTTACTAATTTTCTATTAGTTTTCCAGAGTGGACAAAAGTAATTTCTAAAATTAGTCCTCTAATTAGCGAGGAGGGGGAAAAAAAAAAATCCCAAGCAGGAAAATATGTAAAGCAGGAGGGAAGACAACAAAAAAAAGTGTAATTAGGAGCACTTAAAGATGCCTTATTTGTGCTTCTTCAGGATACAAGGTCTCTTTGGGTCACTGTAAAATCTCCTTTAAAACTGAAAATCAAGACTGTGGTCCCCTGGAGGTGACTGTGGGTGGAAATGCCAGGGGCAGGGAAGAATCAGGAGTGGGCTCCTGTGTCCTGAAGTGGGTGCTACCCTCACCCCAGGGAGCAGGCAGGGCTCCTCCTGTCCCTCTGCAGCGATTCCATTTGCAAAGCACAGTTTGCCTGGAGCAGGGCCCCGCCTGGCCTTCAGGCCATCTTTTTGTGTGTCCTGGCTGCTGGTGCACAGGACACACAAACGCTGATGGTTTTACACCCTGCGATGGCACAAAGCTTCGCACTGCTGCTCCCTGAGCTTGTTTTCTGTCGAGCTTCTGGAGAAAGGTGGAGTGGGGCACTTTAACCCAGACAGCTGGGAGAAGCACGTTATGATTCAGAAGCCGGGTGAAGTCAGTGTCTCCACCTGCGATAGCGCCATTTCCTCCACTTTTTCATCACAGAGGGCACCCACGTACATCAGCACAGGTGAGATATCCCCTTTTTCACTGCCCTCCCGCAGCACACGTTGCTTCTCAGCCCCCGTGCCTTTCCCCAGAGAGCTTTCGAGCCCAAAGGGAGCAGGCAAACACCATGTGAGAGGGCAATCAGAAGCAAAGAAAGGCTGAGCATGGCCCCAGTGCCCCCAGCAGGTCCCAGGAGGGATCTGGGGACAGGATCCTGCTCCTGCTGACCAGGCAGGTCGAGGAAGCCAGGGTCCCATGGCAGCACGCAGCCGCTTCACGTACGATGGAAAATGTTTGAACTGCTGTAGCTGGGGCCCACAGGAAACTTTTGGGAAGTGTGTGCTGGGTCTAAGACAGGAACCAAGAGAGTCAGGGTTTAAAATATGCACCGACAATGAATTGCCTCATTACTTAGAGAAAAGTCGAGAAAGGGGGGGAAGGAGCAAAACTCAGCCACACACGGAAACAGGCGGATAATTTTCTGATGGATCCACCACGTCTCCTGACTGCTGCTCTGGGGCTTTGCTGCTGTTCAAGCCCATGGTGTCTTCTTCATCACAGCAAGCTTCTCCCTCCAGGAGACAGCAGGGTCTCCTCTGCATTTGGGTGCATTTGACCCCATCTCAGAAAGGCCAATGTGCCCTCAGAAGATCATTTTTTTAAGGGGAAACGGTGGGGGAAGGTGGCCATTTGAAGGCTCACCCCACAGTCTTCCCCTTTGTGCACCCTCTCCTGCAGGATGGAGACCTACCAGGGTCTCCCGCCCCGCAAAAGCAGCAAAAAATAAAAGGTGGTCGGAGACGTGAACCTCCTCCTGAAGCACTACGTAAAACAAATGAAGACACCTCAGAGCTGAGGCCCCATAAATTTGGAGCTCCCTGAGGCGAGGCCTCCGGGGTGGGAGCCCCGAGGCCGAGCTGGGCTGGCAGCGAGATCCTGCCTGGGGAGGGAGCCCGGAGCGGGGCAGGTAACGCTCACGCAGCTTTTTATGGCTTTTGGGTTTATTACATTTCTTTTTTTTTTTTTTTTTTTTCCTTCCTGGCCTCGGTGACAACCGCAGCCTTATAAGGGCAGGAGCACGGCGTTGGAGGCTGAGAGGAGGTGGGGCCTCCCAGGGCTGGAGGCTGCCCGGCCCTGACCTCCTTCCTGGGAAAAACCCTGGGAACCCTCCCTTGGCCCAGCTGCTGAAGCAGGAGAAAACTGCACGACCACCCCTTTCCTCTTCCCTTTCTCCCCCGCACCTCCCGGAGGAGCTGCGGCGAAGCCTCCGCTCGCTGCTTTTTGGGGATCTGGGGAGCCACGGGTCGCGGGGTCCCATGCATCCGACATGGGAACCCTATTCCCATCTGGTTGGGGTAGTTCTGAGAACCGGAATTTAAAAATAACAAAAAAAAAAGAAAGGAAAAACAAACGATCTTCCTTCAGTGCTGCTGGCGAGTGTGTGAAAAGCCACAGCTGGCCGGGCTGCTGCGGGATGTCTGCTGCGGACCCCACGGCTCCGTACGTGTTTTGGGATCCCCCCGAGATCTCCGGCCGGCTGCGGGCACTGGGTTCCTACACGTACCAACCCGGGCTGATCCATCCAGCTCCGCCAACTGGTTACGAAGAAGGCCGAACACAAACACGCTAAAAATGTCACTGTCATCAGATAAGGTCGCTATGCACACAGCATTCCTGACACGGGTTCATTACACCGAGGACGTGGAAAGATAAATCCACCAGATCACATGCGGGTGGCGGCTGGCATGGGGAGGGGGCACGGGGAGCCGTAACTCTGCTTTTGGGCTTGCTGCCAGCCTGGGGGGCATCACCCCTGCGTGACTCAGTGTCTCTCAGCGGGGGAAAAAAGAGGGATGTCACGGCACCCACCTCCTCCTGCGAGCGCTGACATGTTTCGGGAAGGAGCGGCAGAAGGGGAGGCCGGGGATGAGTGTGCTTGTGAGCTGCAACAGAGATCTTTACCAAACACGATCATATTTATCACTCCAGGAGGCAGATATCTCTATTTTGTAGGAAAGGAAGCAGGCACTGGGAGCTTCCTCTGCGATGCATTTGTAACCGTGTTCAAGCCCCAGCAGCACGGGGCTGAGCACACTGGGTGCTCACCTTTTCTGTCAGATGTCCAGGTGAACACAGAAGTACACGAGCCGCCAGATCTAACAACCTTCCCTGCCATGCAATGAGTTTTTATAGCTCTCAAGCCACATATTTTAAGAGCTGAGGGGGGCAGGAGCTGTGGCTGGGTCACCAGTGGGAGACCCATGGGATCATGCTCCCTCTCCTGAGCTTGCCACCACATCCACTCTTTAACTGCTTACAGGCTGTGTCTGGCTCAAGAAAGAGAGGTTGTGGGGCCTTTCTCTTGGGATGAGTGATTCGGATTAGGTCAGCCAACGAGGGAACATCCTGTTCCTTCTCAGCCTTGGGACGGTCAGGGTTGTGGTTTGAGGACTGCGCAAACCATCCCGAGTCTGGGCAGCCCCCAGAGGAAGAAGCCCCCAGCCTCCTCTTCCCCTCCCTCCTCCGACCTTCACACTCCCACTGCCAGCCCCAGATCTCACAGTCTGATCCAGCTGGAAAACAGCCTGAAACGAAACCAAGAGCTGTGTCTCCAGCTCGACCATTTCCTCGGTGTGGCTGACTGCCTGGGTGCTAGAGAGGCTCTGGAAACGCACGGTCATGGGGAGGACTTTCTGGTGACACACCAGACACAGGCTGGTTAGAAACAAGGAGGGAATCACAGCCCTGGGAGGGCAGAAAGCCTCCTTTCCAGGGATACCCATGGATTATTTTACTCCAACTGCACGTGGGGGTTGTTACGGCATCCCAGATGCAAGTGGTTGTGACCAGTATCTGAATTACACATCACCCATTGCCAAATGTATAGGGTTAGCAACCTCGGGGCATCACTCAGTGGAGAAGGTCATTTCGGAGGTCTCCAACCCACTCAGGGCCATATCCAGCTAGGTTTTGAAAACCTCTGAGGGTGGCAAACCCATGATCTGTTGTTGCCTCTTATCCTTTCGCCGAGCACCTGCCCTGCAGGTGTTGGCGTGTGCATTCACCCTACCAGCGTGTGTGCATGTACAGTGAGCATCCCTGCCTCCACCTACCACGTTAATATCATCTCAAAGGTTCAGTTCATAAAAATGGGTGCAAATTCACTCAAGGAGAGGGAGCTGTGGCAATTCCTGCAAGCAGTTTTAGTGCATGTATGCTGTGTGTGTGTACCCAGGGATGTCTGGGCACCGTCCTCCTCCTCCTCCAGCAGCTCAGCACCTCGGCAGTCGCAGATCTCCCTCTCCACTGTTATCGGAGAAGATGTTTACAGCCAGGTCTAGATCTGGTCAGGTAGCTTCTCGATTACTCACCTCTCAGCTATTGCTCTGCTCCGGTGGCTGTGAAGCTGAGGGAGACAGGCTGTACCAGGCGGCAGCGAGGGCTGGAAGACAACAGAAATCAGGTTCTGCTCCGGCGACGTTGCCGGAGGGCAGTGCATCACCGCTCTGATGTCATATCTGTGAGGCACGGCCTGCAGAGCATTAAAAAAAAAAGAACACCCATTGCTCAGCGGGCCAGAAGTGATTGAAAAGGAGGCGAGCCAAAAAGGAGACCTCAAAACTTTAACCTGCTTGCTGGCTTGGGGACAGCGGTAGGTGAAATGACGTACAGCTGCTACTCAGCGGTGTCTGAGGTGATAACACCCAAAAAGCCGAGGCCATGGCTGAGGGGAGGCAGGGACAGGGCACCTCTGCACCCTGACCACCTTCCAGAGCCAAAATCCCCATGAGGAGGGGGCTCTGCACTGCCATGTGGACAGGACCTGAGGCCATGCAGGCCATGCTCTTGCTGGTGCCATGGAGATGGGACGGGCAGGGCAGGGCTCGGCCTGGACTGGAGGCTGCCCTGTCCTACAGGAGGCTGTGGCCCAAAGAGAAAGTCTGAGCGTGCTGGGTCTCAGCATGGGTGAGGTGCTCAGGAGATTATGACAGAAATGCAATAAAACAGGTTTTCACTGACAGCCAAGGCCAGGAATCACTGCCTGCCTGTCGGTGTTACTCGGCTTTCTTTTAATCTGAGACGACTCGAGGGCTGCCTGAGGTGCCACGAGCGAAAGGAGGTCGGGTCAGGTTTGGAAAGCGAAGCTCGTTCCAGGGATCAGCCGCTCCTGCTGCCTCCCTTTGCTCAATCCCAGAGCGAGGCAGGGAGGTAAAATTTAGGCTCGGCTCAGCCTCGCCCAGCAGACCCACCTCTGGACCTACTGGGCCCGGTGAGGACGGGCTGTGAAGCTGTGCCTTGTAGAGGCCTGACCCGTCCTGCACCACCATCGCTGCTGGACAGGGGTTGGGATCAATCAGAGAGTGGTTTGGGTCGGAAGGGATCTTTAAGATCATCTAATTCCAACCCCCTTCCATGTGCAGGGACACCTCCCACCAGCCCAGGCTGCCCAAAGCCCCATCCAGCCTGGCCTTGAGCACCTCCAGGGATGGGGCAACCACGGTTTGCAGGACAACCTGTTCCAGTGCCTCACCACCCTCAGAGTAAAGAATTTCTTCCTAATATCTAACCTAAACCTCCTTTCTTTTAGTATTAAAGCCATTCCCCTTCTCCTATCACTACACCGTCTGACAGAGTCCCTCCCCAGCTTTCCTGCAGCCCCCCTTTAGGTACCACAAGGCCACCATAAGGTCTCCCCAGATCCTTCTCTTCCTAGAGGACCCAGCGTATGTGCGCAGACACCATAATCCGCGGGACTTTGTCCTCAGCCCATCCCTCCCAGCTCCGCCGCCCAGCGTATCTCGCCAGGCTTATCTGGTCGCGTGCCCTCCTCCCTCCCCAGCCGTACCCCGCGGGCCAGATTTTCCTGCTTCACCCCAAAAGCTTGTTTTTGTTATTTGAAAACAAACAAGAGTTGCGTCTGTTTTGATTTCCAGCGGGAGGTTAGAGGGAGGTCAGAGCCGACATCTGGGCTGGAGATAACATTCCCGTCTAATTAGCAAGCCCTGAATAACGAGGGCCTTCCTGTCCCGTCCTCCCCCCCACAGCCCAGAGCGGGAGAGGGCAGCGCAGTGGGGCTGGGGCAGAGCCAGGGCACCCAGCTGGGAGAAGCAGCCCCGTCGGGCGATGTTTTATTTCCCCTGTCCTCCTCCATCTCCACACCCAGGCACGCAGCCTTCACGGCCCAAGCGTGGTCCCGGTGCACGGCACTGATTTTAGCGCTGTCCCTGCTGCCACATCGATGTCTGTGCATCGAGAGAAGACACCAAGGGACTTGGCACTTGCGAGACACATGAATGATCTCTGCTTCCTCACATCCTCTGCTTTCTCTTCAGCGGAATATTGGCAGCCCCGTCCCTGTTTTTGGGAATTGGGCTGTTTATTGGGGTGACAAAATGCAGCTGTCAAATCGAGCACAGCGACCCTGCAGTGAGGGAGCAGCCGTGGCCGGAGCCAGCTGTGGGACAGGAGGCCACACGTGGCGGCTGCTGGGTGGCAGCGACAGGACACAGGAACGGGCTGAGCTGCAGCTTGGTGTGATGACAGCACCGGGCACTTCTGCCCCCTGCAAAGCCCTACTGCCAGCTGGCACCTGCAGCAAAACTGCAGTGGGGAAGCTGCCAGCACCAGAAAAGCCGCAGCGGGTCAGCTCCGCAGAGGGAATGCAACCTTTGCTCCTGGCCTTGGTGGAAATCCTACAGGAAGGAGAAGGCAGGGGGCAGGCTCGGGGCTGAGCACTGGCAGAGCTTGGCCTGAAGGGACAGGGCTGGAAACTCGGGTCAGCATTGCGGGGAGGCACGGCACAGCAGAGGAGCAGACACGGCCACATCCAGGACCCCAGAGGGGTCTCTCCTGCTCCTGTGTCCCTGAATCCCGAGGGTGCTGCCCCCTGCACCGTGCCAGATGGAGACGATCCTGAGTGTACTTCCTCCGAGTGTCACCAAGGAAACCTGAATTAGGAACAGAGTTGAGCTCCAGGGAAAGGGGAAGGGGAAGCAAAATCCCAGACAGGTACCCAGGGCTGGCGTGCTGGGTGACCACACAGTCTAGCACTAGAAATGCAGTGGCAGGCCTGAGAACATTTTATGATGTTCAGGCTCTAGGGGAAAGCCCAGTGGTTGAAACCCATCACACCCAGGCAGGCTGGCAGGGGAAAGCTGGGTGTCCTCAGTGGCGAGCCCCCAAGCAGCCCAACCGAAGGCTCAGCCCCTGGAGAGAGAATCTGGCGCAGGAGGAAGAAGAACTTGAGGGTTTTTTTGTCTTGCCGCTTCCTGCCGAAAGCTGGCACGGCTGTAAAATCCTGAGGCCAGAACAATGAGGTCTCCTGTCCCAGCAGCTGCTAAAGCAGTCACCTGGGGAGCTTCCTGCCATCAGCCAGGGGCAGGACGAGAAGTTGCTCCCGCACGCTTTCCTGCAACCCGCCACACGCCTGATTTATGCTCGGCGATGTCCCTGCCACCCCCTCCCCCAGAGCCGGGCGTCTCACGCTCCGAGAAGAGGATGTGGTTGCTGAGCCCAACCTCTGCCGGGGATCAGGCTCATCTTTCAGCCCCGCTTCCCCACGCAGCAGGAGGTGCTTTTCTTTGTGACTTCTGAGCCACGCCACGGCTCCCTGCAGGCAGCGGTTCCCCCGCAGGCACTGCCTGGACATCCCCCGTACCCGGTGTTCATGCTGTTGTGCCCCAAAGCGCCCTGCAAATGCTCTGTGGCTGACACACGCTGCAAATCCGCTGCTTGCAGTCACCAAAGAGCTGGCACCATGCTGCCACCAGCTTCCTCTCGGGCCATCACGCCTTTCCAAAGCATTAGTCTGCTGGTCTGAGCCACGCCGGCTCTCGCCTCACGGGTGAGTATTTTTAGAAAGTTGCAGCCGAGACCATGCAGTCACTCCTGAGCTATGCCAGGATGAAAAGAAAACAACCGCTTCTGCCCGAACAATGCAGCCTTGGAACAAAAAGCTGCTGCAAATGGGATTTTTCAGCATCACTCACAACTGGCCGAGCTTTGAAAGACGAAACTTGCAGTCAAAAAAAAAAAAAAAGAAAAGAAAAGAAAAAGAGAGGCTCCCGGTGAAGAGAGAAAGGGCCTGGACAATTTACTTTAAAAGCCAGATGAAAGCAAAGCGGTGTTATATAAATACCAGGAGGCAGGCCGTGGCTTGCGCGCGGTGCAACCCTGCGTTTGCATCAGCTGCTGCTGCTGCTGGCTGCATGGCGCGGCCCCGTGCTCGCGGCAGCCCGAGGGGACGGAGCCGGAGCCGAGCGAGCCCCGAGCACCTGCGGGCTGTAGCGTGGCTGCCCCGAGGCTCAGCTGCCCTCCTGGTGCTTCATGAGACCGGCATGAGAAGCAGCACGGTGGGCCGCAGGTCTCCGGAAAGCACCGCCACTGCTGGTGCGTTTTGTGCCTGCTGGATGGCTCCGAGGGGGTCAGAGCTGCTGCGGGCTCTGGCTGCAAAAATTTCCTCTTTTTCTCTGTTGCTCAAGCAGTCGGTCTGCTGAGACGGAGGATGCACCAGGCAAAGAGGCCGGCTCTGCTCCCCTTCTGCTGGCAGCAGGTGTCCCCTGCTGCTGTCACCTCCTCCCTGCCCTGGAGCACACCCGGGCTCAGGACGAAGCCGCCCGTCCCTGTGTCCCTGTCCCCACGCGCAGCCCGAGGCAGAGCCCGGGTGCTGCCAAGCACGCCCCGCCCTGGCAGCCAGCTGCAGCCTCCGGCTTCTGCTCAAGCAAGGCTTCGAGTGGAAAGCGCTGGCGGGGGAACCGCAAGGCTCACGAGGGAGCGCAAAGGCCGCGGCGAAGTGCTGCTGCCTCTTCCTTCTCCCTACTCTCGTGCCTGCGCTGCTGGTGGAGGCGGACTTGGGCCTGGGTGGGTTGCAGAGGCAGGCAGGGAGGACGGGACGTCTCACCTGTGATCTAGTTTGATTTAGGTCCCGAACTCGAACCCGCTGTACTTTGCCTGATGGTTTTATTGCCGGAGATATCGCGGCTGGCCAAGCCACGAGCCACTTGCAGTTCAACCTGCGGAAAACTGAAACCGGCGGTGAGTGCTCGGCGCAATTCAGCAACGCTTCGGAACGCCGCTGAGCTGAACGCTGCTGCTAACGGCCTGCCCGGGTGCCAGATCTGAGTTGCCAAATCCGTGCGAATCCTGTAATTAGTTGAGAAAAATGGGGAGGGGGGGGAGGAGATAAAAAACAAAGCGGAGAACAGCCAGGCTGGGTTGGCGACCGGCCCTGCTGAGGGCAGCGTTAGTGGTGGCTGTTCTTGTTGACATGGGCCCAACGCTTGCTTTGGTGTAGGATTCACTGCCTGCGGGGCCAGCTGAAGCCAAATGTGGCCGCAACTGGCCCTGTCCACACTCACAGCCCCCGTGTGCTGCACGTCAGGCAACTTGAGCCTCCCATCCCCTCCCAAAACATCGTGGGGGCTCGGCGCAGCACGGCTCTCACCCCACGAGGCTTCAGCTGACAGAGCTGAATGGCTTGGGAAAGCAGCAGCTGCTGCTCTCGGGTTCGATGGAAGCCAGCAGAAAGGGATGAAAAAGCTCTGCTTGCTGCGAACCGGGTGTCTTCAACCAGGCCGCGTGGGTTCAGGGCGCAGCCGGGCAGCGGGGTCAGCTCGGCTTCGCTCCCCTCGGGGAGGCAGCGAGCGCCCACACAGTCCTAAAATAGCAACCGGGAGCATGAGGAGCAGAGAGCACTGCTGCAATGCTTGGGAGGAGGGAGTAAATGTTTAACAGACCGGGGGAAATGTTGGATGTGTTTAACTCCGAAAGGGAAGAACGGCATCGTTGCCCGAGTGAGAACAGAGACGTTTTCTCCACTGACATGTACAAAGCAGCTGTTTCTGAGAACCAACCTACTGCCTTGGCTCCCTGCTCTCAGGAAAGACCAAGCTCACATTCAGCTGGCATGAAAATTGCTGTGCAACCCCTCTTTTGACCGCTGCGTAAACACGCTCCTTGCCGTGCTTCCTGCTTGCACCTCCCCAAGCCTCCTGAGCTGTTGCCAGCCAGGGATTTGAATTCGGGTCCTGCTGCAGAAAACATCCCTGCATTTTGAGGCCTGCGCCGTGGCGAAAATCACGCGAAGCATCACGGTGCCCCCAACCTCCTCCTCCTCCTCACTGCCAGCCAAGCAGTTTCTGGAGGATTTCTCCCTGTGTACGTGGGTCTCCAGTGTTTATCTCATAGAAACACTTGTGGCTCTCACATAATGCACCCTAAAGCAGGCTGGCACTTTAATAGCCGACCAGCTCGTTAGCTCCACTTTTCCCCAGCAGGAAGTGATAAAATAGCTAATTTATACTGTCTCTTCAACGCACAATGCAAAGTCACCGTGTTTTTTCCTGTTCTGTGGGATGGTGAAGCATAAAAGTTGGCTATTGTTGGGTACGTGACGCTGTTCCCCTAACTTTTCCTGCACAAGCAGGGAAGGGGAGACGGTCTTTCCTAGAAGTGTTTACAGAGCAGCCAGCAACACCGAGGTGCAGGGCGAATTGCTCGGCCCGAAACGGGAGCGGGCCAGCAGCCGAATACCGTTTCTACCCGCTCACTGCTTTACAAATTACATCCAAGTGACATCAGCGCGGGCGGGCGGTGTGCCAGGCCGTGAGCTCAGCCCCGCCGGGAAGGCAGCCCACCTCGGGGGGCCCGGGCCGGTGAGAGCAGGTGGGAAGGGCGACGCCTGCGGCGGGACGCGCGGGGCTTGGAGCGCCGCTTCCTCGCTCCTTAAAAGGTCACAGCTCGTTCCTAAGAAGGTGCAGGGCAAAAAAAAAAAATAAAAAAAAAAATACCTAACGACCTGTGCCAGGGAGGCGAAATGGAGCAGAGCCAAGGCTGATTGAGGGAAACAGAAGCTAGGAAGGGAAAAAAAAAACACACACAGGTCTTACATGGTTATTAGGCAAGTACAGTGTGCTCACGCATGAAGTTAAGCGTTGCAGCGGGCACCAGCCCCGATGTCGCACTCGGCCGCTGGGAGTGGGGCACTGCCAAGGAAAACTGGAAGCGTGCAGAATTCAGCTGGACTGTGATCAGGTGAACGTGGGGAGGAAAAGCTGGGAAAGAATGAGGGCTGTTTATGAGATGGGCACACAGCTGCCACCGTAGTCTAAAGGTCGGGGCAATTACCATCGGGACACGGGAGCAGCACTGCAAGCCCTGTGAAAGGAACCCACTTGGTTGCTTTTCGGAACGTTACCTTTTAGTAGGGATCAAGTTGTAACCTGCTCTGTCCCAGCTCATCATTAGGAACCAGCCACTGCCCTGCTGGTACTGCCTCTCACCCCTCTGGACAGATGAGGGACTTCCCTGCGATTTCAGAGAATCAACTTTTATTCTCCAGCTAAACAGAAGTGACAATAAAGTTCTCTTTGTTACAGACCTACAAAAAAAAAAAAAAAAGGAGAACCATAAAATACTTCGATTTTCTCTTATAAAATTCTGAGAGGAGCCTGAGGATTTGCAGAGCATTTGTACCCGTCCCAGGGACGTGAGGACAGCGGGACAAAAACACGGGTTTCACAGACAAGGCAGAGGCATTCCCAACTTTAACAAACCCACCCAGGGCAGATAGTCGTCTACAGTCGTCTCTTTGCTGATAAATGCAGGCTCCTCATCCCAGCCACATTCCCCGTTTTGAGAAAAAGCAGCCCTGCTCCTCCACACTTTTTATAACTACTGCTGCTCCAGAGAAGGGGGGAGCAGGAAGGAAGGGTTACAACATTGTCCATCTCCTAAAAACCCCCAAACAAAAGAAAACCCCAGGCTGTACGAGGCAGGCAGCCCACGTGCCCCTCAGCTCTGCCAGGCAAGGAACGCGCAGCACGGACACAGCCGGAGGCAGAGGTACGGCCACCCTTTGACTTCAGGCTCCGATGAGTTTCTTGATGAATGCTTCCAGCTGATCCTCGTCCTTTATCCCCACAAACTTATCCACAACGTCTCCGTTCTTCATGGCCAGCACGGTTGGCACTGCTGACACCTGGGGGCAAGAGAAACACAGAGGTGCACGTAAGGAGAGTCTGTGAGGAGCACTTCACCCAGATCCCAAATGGAGCTCTATGGCTGTGCCTCCCCGAATTACCCCGCTCCCGGGGACAGTGAGACAACGATGGCTAGCAAGGGACTGAAAGCTTTTCTCTTCTCAAAGCAGACACGTCCCCTACAAGTAACACAATTTAAAAGGCAAAACCAAGCCTAACATAAAAAGAAAAGGCAAAGCTTTTTCTCCTCTCCAGTACAAATTCTGCTTCTCTTTCCTTCTTATCCTACCACAAGCAAACAAACCCAGTCTTTTATCAGGCTACCTCTCACACACGATGATCTTTAGACATTTTATGGCCAGGGCAGTACCAGACTGGAGCCACGTTCTTCTCCAAACAGGACAGGAGCTAGAGCAGGGCTCCCCACCCATCACCGAGCAGGCAGACATCCTGCTCTGGCTGACCAGAGTAACAACAACCCCAACCCATCTTTTCCTTTTCTGCCTAAGCTTTTAGCTGTTGAGCTGGATTCCCGATGATCAGGTAGGAAGAGAAGTCCCTCCAGGCGGTGCCTGCAGGCAGCTGCGTTGCTCTGAATGCTATTTTCCTGGTCCAAAACAAAAGTTGCTGGGAATTATTGGAGAGAACAACAGTGGAAATGACGACGCTCCTCAGGGACTCGCTGGGGGTACAGCGACAGAAGAAACCTCGTAGATGCGATCACGAGGAGCCATCAGAGCTCAGAGATCTGATCCCGCGTGCTGCTGAGCAGACAGCTGGCACGACCACCCTCAGCTCTGGTGCTCTTATCTCTGCAAAGCCTCTCCCCCCCCCGAACACGTCCTGTTCTTATCTCGCTTGCTGCCCATCTGCCAGCCTGCACGGCCTTCCCCCCGCGTGCTCCCAGCTGTCCCGGCCCCGCTGCCAGCAAGGATCTGCCACGCTCGCAAATCCTTCCTGCAGGAAACCCTCCAGAGGTCTGGCTTTCCTCCCAGCAGGAGGCAGAGATGAAAGGGACATTTTGTTCTTCCCTTCCCGGCCCAGCGCTGTTCCTGCAGTCTGGCCTCGGGGGGCTTTTGTGCAGTCGGATCCGAAAGGGATGGGAGCGCCGGGGCTACTGCCACCGTGCCGCAGGTTCTTCAGCTCCTCCTAGTGACCGGATGGAGCAGGGCTCGAAAACTCAGGCCCCAGAGGGGCTGATGGAGCTCAAGACATGTTCCTTTAGGGTTTTAGGGGTGAGACAGGACACACCAGCGCGGCATTTCACTGGTCTCCTCCTCTCCCTGATGGGCAACGCTCTGCTGAGCCTCCCCCTGGTTTGCAGAGTGGGTTAGGAACAAGCACGGTCACCCCAGCTCCTTCCTAAAAAACATCACATCCAACCAGCAACACTAAACTTAATCACCCCAGTAAGGGCTGGGAGAGGTCCAGATGACTCTTTGAAGCACTACAGAGGACCAGACAAAAAAAAAACACGAGTTACTGGGCTCACTTCACGCGCACTTGCTCCCTCCATCTCCTCCCACGTGCCCCTGAGTTGGGCAAAACATCCATGCAGGGGGCAGTGTGCCAGGGGGCAGCAGCAGGGCCCGGCTCGGCGCTTTCAGAAGTCACAGAAAAAGCCAGCAGCCTCCGGGAGAAAAGCCCAACAGCAGTGTTAGACCTCGAAATTGGAAGCCGTGAGCGGGCCTCAGCTCCCCTTTGTGTGGCAGGGAGGGAATCCTGAGGTTCTTGGGCGTGCTGCTTGCGAAGCAGATGTCTTGGGAATTTCTAGAAGGGAAAGTTTAGATTTCTTTCTTATGTCCAGTCTGCACTGAACCTAAATAAACCCTCCTCTTACTTCAAAGCATTTGTGGAGGAAATAGCCAGGCTGCTTTTGATCAGCACTCACCAAGCAGATAAACAAACAGAAGCAGCCATGCAGCCTATTCCCGGCAGCACTCGCATTCGGGGAATTCTCTCCCATCCGAAACTGGGGCTTCTGCACCACCCTGGGCACCGATGGGGGAAGGATTTCACCCAGCTTCAGGAATGAGGCGTTAACAGGGACAAGCTCTGTCCACGAGCGATGTCCCCGTGCCCATCAGCTCTTCTGGGCTGCCCACAGCTCCCGTGCCCACCCGCAGCAGCAGCAGGGGCTGCCCTTTCCCAAGGGGCACGGGCAATGGGCCAAGGCAAAAAAAAAAAAACAAAAAAACCAAAACGATTTTAAGGAATTTCCAGAGAAAGCAAATTAAACAGAAGTCCTCCTCCCTTCCTGCTCTCGAGGCTGGAGGTCAAGAGCAGGCTGCGGCAGCAGCAAAAGGCCGCAGCTGGCGAAGAAGGGCTCTGGACAGGAGGAAAACTCAAAGAAAGAACTTCTGTGCCACGCTAAGCAGATGGAGGAGGGTGCCCGGATTTTTCTGGTTGTAGGAAAACACGTCTGGGCTTCGTGTTAGCCCAATTGTTTGGAGCCAAGGGCAGGGAGAAGCAGGCGTGAAGGCATGCAGCGACATTCCTCAGCTCCTCCCGGGGGCTCTGTCCTCTCCCCGGGCTGAGGAGCCCACGGGAGATGACGCTGTGCGAACTGGGGGCCACGCACGTGGCACGGGAAGAGGCACGGATGGAAGGAGGCTTCCTGGCAGCGAGAGGAGGATCTGTGAGGGTAACACGGACACGGAAAGCCCCAAACAAAATCCTTCTCAGCCTGCAGATATCCAATCTCAGATGGGAAGGCCTTAAAAAAAAACCAAAAATCCCTCTGGATTCCCTGATCTTTCCCAAATACCACCTCTGGTTCCTCTTGGATCTCGCCCCAAGGCCTTCCCATCAGCTCTTCTGCTCCCATCTCCTTAGCTGACAACTTCCCAGCAAGACTGAGCACGTGCCCAGTGCACGAACCAAGCCTCTGCCTTGAACAGGATGCCCCAAACGATGAAGACCAAACCAGACCCTGCAAATAAAGTGGATGTGTACGCGGTCGGCAATCATACTTGAGGAACCAAGGAGCTTTCAGCCTCTTTTTCAACCCTCGAGCTGCAGAGCCCTCAGGCTCGCAGCACTCAGCCCTGCCAGTGAGCCAGCACTCGCCCCCCTCGGCCCTGGCATGCCTGAGAGCACGCCACCTCCTAAAAAAAGCACGGGAGGCTCTCGTGCTCAGCCCGTGGAAGCTGCAAGTGCCATTTGCAGGCAGCAGGCGGGCGGACGCTCCGCCACAGCGCAGGGAGAAAGTTCTCCCTGGGAAGGAGCAGGAGGGAATGAGCTGCTTCAGCTTCTTCCTCCTCCCAGCACAGCAGGGTTTGGGGTAGGGTTTGGAGCAGGGGGAATCACACACTCCGAGCTGCCTTCCACTTGTCCAAACAAATCCCACGCCGTCCCCTTGTGACACAGCTTAAGGCCAGGACGCTGCCACCAGCAAGAAATCCTCAGCGAGGGAGGGAAAGAGAGGACGGGCTGGCTGCCCGGAGAACTGTGTCAAGGAGTGCAACAGCCTGGGGCTTGTTACTTCGTGTCCCTGCCCTACGCCTGAGCAGCCCGGGCATGCAGTAAAACGCTGCACAGGACTCCTGGAGGGGGCACAGAGGGCTACCAAGATGATGAGAGGACCAGAGGACAGGCTGAGAGAGCTGGGCCTGCTTAGGCTGGAGGAGAGAAGACCGAGGGGACATCTCATCAAGGTGTGTAAGTATCTGAGGGGAGGGTGTTGAGATGATGGCGCCCATCTCTTTCCAGTTGTGGGGTCTCCTCCGCTGGAGATATCCAGAACCTGCCTGGATGCCATCCTTTTTGCAGATTTCTGCAGATTTGGAGGTGGGGATGACGAATACGAGCAGCAGAGCTGGAGGAGGAGCACGCAGTGAAATCCACCCACTGCTGAGTGACCCAACAGACCAGGAAGAGGCAAGCAGCAGCCCTGGGCTTCCCCTCCCTGCCCAGGCTGCTGCAGCGCAGGTACCTCTCCCTGGAGAGGGCCCTGCTGTGGGCTACCACCACCAGTGAGCCTGTGCTGGCCCAGCTCCTACCTCGTACTCGATGGCAAGGTCTGTGTGATCGTCAATGTCCACTTTGGCCATCACCACCTTCCCCTCCTGCTTGGCCACCATCTTCTCTAACCGGGGGCCTAGGATCTTGCAGGGACCGCACCACCTACGGAGAAAGAGCAGGCGTGAGAGGAGGCCAGCACCTTTACCACCCTTTTCCCTCTCTTAAGCCCAGTTACGGGACACTGCTGGCACCAAACACCGAGCATAAACATTAACCAGCTCCCCCAGCCCGGGCTGTCCTCTTTTTCTGCTGCTCAACCGCTCGTCCCTGCCCTGCTCACGTGCTGGACTGTGACCCAGATGACCACAACGCTGCCGTGGTGCAAGTGTCGCTGTCAGGTGTGGGGCAGCCACTTGCACACCTATCAGCTCGTGCTGATTGTCGTAGACTTGCCTGCCTACTTACTGCAGGGTTAGCTGCGAAAATTGCAGACATAGCAGCTGTTTAAAGCAAGAACACGGCAGCCAGGACAGATTTTGCAAGGCCACATATGGGGAAAACAGCACTGTGCCTAAATGTGCTGGTTAGGAAGTTGTGAACTCCCCCAGACCAAGCAAAATTCAAGTTAAGGCTCTGAGGGCCCTTTTTATGTGAAATATAAGCTCTGGTAAGCTTTGTGCCTCCCTCCATGTTCGCTTTCAGGCTTTCCATTATTTGTCCTCTTCTCCCTTGATGTCCCCCAGTTGATGTTGGTTTTGGTTTGTCAGTCTGCTCTGTTCAGCAGCTGTTTTGGGGCTGCTCTGTAGCCTGAATCAGCCACAGCTCATACGACAGCACTACAGGACCATGAAAACACTTGAAAAAACACACAATATAAACAGTATTGTTACTCCAGTGGATAACGTGCAGGAATATTTTAACTGGCAGGAGCATAACAACAGTTTTATTGACCAGAAACGTCGCTGCTGGTACCATGAGGCTGTCAAGAGCTCTGGCTCAACAGCCCCCGGGGTGCTACAGCTCCAAAGACGCAGCGTGAACCTTTGGGAAGCTCCCAAACGAGCGTTAACGTCACTCGGTGTCTTTTTAGGGTGGCGTTTAGCCCCGAGGAGCGCTGAAGGGCGTTACAGGAGGCCCTGTTGGATGAAGGGCCCCGCGGCTGGGCGCTGCCGGCCACTTACTGCGCGTGGAAGTCCACCACGACGGGCTTGGCGCTGTTGACCACCCGCTCCTGGAAGTCGCCGCCGTCCTGCACGTTGAAGGCGCTGGGGCGACCCGCGGAGGTCCCCAAGGCCCTGGTGGGCACGGCCAGCAGCCGGCGGAGCGCCAACCTCTGCGCCATCTGCGGGGAGAAGAAGAAGAAGAAAGGGGCGTGAGGGTGGAGGGGGCCGCTCGCGATCCCCTCCCCGATCGCGACCCCGCTGCCTATCGCGACCGCAGCCCCGCACCTCGCCCTGCCCGCAGGTGCCCCGAGCGGCTTCCGGCCGGTTCTGCGGATGGAGCCGCCCCCGCGCCGCTTTCGGGCTCTCAGTGGCTGCTGCTGCTGTCGGTCGTGCCCAGCCGCCGGCTCGGGGCGGAGCGTGGAGTACCTTCCCCTCGCAAGCCCGAAATTTATTGGGATTTAGGGGACCGGCCCCGCCTGGAGCCCCTCCGGTAACACAGGAGCGTAAAAGCGCAGCCCACCACCCGGGCGGCCCTTGGGAGAGGGGTTTTGGGGTGAGCGGAGGGGAGAGAAAGAAAGAGGACAAGCATTTTGTCACCAAAGTGCAGCTGGAAGTTTCTTGTCAGGACGCAGTGCAAAGAGGAGGGGTGTTGGACATGCTTTATAAAACACGGGGGGAACTTTTAGGGTGTTTGGTACCATATAAGAAAAAAGTTCGGACAGCAGGGCCACGCTCAGTATGAGTCTCTCTGCCCTAGGACCGGAGGCAGGCTGCTCAGCCTTGCAGGGTGAAGGGTCTCTTGTAGTGCTCTCCTGGAAATGAGAAATGATCCCAGCCAGGCTTAGTGAAAACCCAGCACCCCTCTGTGCCCACCTCCAGCACTGCCCTAACTCAGAGGCAGCAAAAATCCCGTGCAGTTTGCCCAGAGAACCACTCTGGATTCAGTACACAAACGGATCTCGAAGTACAAACAGCATCCAGGGAGCAGCGCAGGCGCACACAGGACACGAACAAGTCACCTCACCAGAGGGAGGTGACAGTTTAAGTCACCCAAATGTCCCTAAAATCTCCCTTTTGGACCCCTGGATGGCGCTGCAGATGCTGGCCTAGGATATAATCACCACCTTCAGGCAACTCCGAGCACTGCAAGGCCAAAGCGGGTGCCTCAGCACCACTGGATTTCAGGCCTTGCCTTGTCCCTGGGAGCACCTCGGTCCTTTCTGTAACAGCAAGATCGGGGCAGGTCTTTGGCAACTCGTGGACGGTGGAAAAAGGGATGGGGATGGAAGAGGTGCAGGAAGAGGGGAGAGTCCTGGCCGAGATCTCCGTTACAGAGTTGTCACAACAGCACCCACGGGTTTCTGTGTGGCCTGAGAATTGTTAGAGCTCGTCCTTGGTGTTGAGGAGGTGCTGTAGTGGGCGGACGGGGCCGCCGTGGTCCTTCAGCAGCTGGTCCCCGCCGGGGAGTTCGTCCCCTGAGAAGTCCGCGGCAGCAAAATCCTCCAGCAGGCCGGCTGCGACCGCATGGCGCCGCAGCCTCTCGCTCCCTGCGAGTCCCTGCGTCCTCGCGTAGCCCTGCTGGCAGAAGGGAGGCAGCTTCTGGCGGGTGAGGGCAAAGAGGAAACAGGATTCTGCCAGGGAGAGCAGAAAAAAATACATCAGGCTCGCCAGAGAAACCCTGGAGGGAACAATTCCCGAAGGCATTTGGGAAGCAGCACTTTTTGCTGTCCGGGGAGTGCATCAGAGAGGTGTGCCCGACTGTGAGAGCGCCAGCACATCGCAGGGAGCTCTCAGTTATTAGCAGAAGAGCTCGCTCCTGTCCCGTGTCCCTCATGTCCCTCCTCTGCCTCAGCCCGAGGCTTGAATTACCTGCGAAGAAACTGCGCAGGTCAGTGCCGAGGCAGTTCTCCAAGAAACGCCTGAGCGGCAGGATGTGGGCGTTCGGGGCTGTCCAGTCGGTGAGAAAATCCTCCACGATGTGATGGATGGCAGCCGGGCGGGGGAGAGGCCAGTCCGGGGGCCGAAGTTTCATCTCGCGCTCTGCCAAGAGACCATTGAGGGAACCTCTCGGAATCAAAATGGAATTAAAAAGGGGAAGCAGCAAGCAGCCACGACAGCGGGCACAATTTTTGCCCTGACCTCCTGATCCCTACCTTACTCTTACATTTGCAGTCCCCCCCTGCTAGCTCTGTCCCGAGGAGCCCTGCCACAGCAGCGTTTCCCATCATTTCACTTGGGAAGGGACTGCCCATCAGGCTGAACCATGCCCAAGCTGCTTTTTCCTCGCAGGTCTGGCTGCACCCTGAGCTGATCCTTCCAGAGGTGAAGCTTCAGTACCCACAGAGGCTGAAATGCTCACCTGTCGGGAGGCGTTTGTAGTAGTAAATCACGGGGTGCAAGAAGTTGGACTGCCAGGCGTGTTGCGCTTCTCCCACAGCTCGGTTGTAATAGAAGACATCCTTGTCAGCCCCTGAGAAGTTCCTCCCGTACTCCATCAGGACGACGAAGAGCCCCTCGGGAGCGTTCCTCCCCGTCTGCGTTTCCAGCTCAGCCAGGATTCCCACCGGGTACTCCTCCAGGTATTCAAAGGCCGTGGCATTCCTAGGAATTGCAACCACAATCCTAAGATTTTGCAGCCAGAGAAAAGCCAAGCAGGATCCAACACCCCTGCAGCTGATCGAGGCTAAGGCCAAAGAGCCATCAGCAGCTAGCAGTTCTTTTGGTAGCTACAGATCTGGGCTGGACTTGATGTAGGGCTTAGGAAGGCTGCATGTGCTGTTACAAAACTCCTTTATGTCCCCAGACTCTGGGATCCCTCTATCAGCACTGCTCAAGGAAAACTTGGGGGGACAGCTGGAGTACTACAGCTCTGAGCCCAGTTTCAGCCCTTCAAGAGAAGGAAATAATTGGCAGAATTGGGTACAGGGGCCCAGTGGTACAGGTTTTTTGAGGTCTGCTTATGGGATGACAACATCCTCAGGCAGCACCGTAGCGATTTGCGTGGTGGCACCAGGGGCAGTGACAGAGAAGGAAAAGGAAGAAAGGAAGGGGATGATGGAGCGCAGCGCTGGGACTAATCGCTCGCTCTCTCACTCACTCTCTCAGCAGGACGACGTCAGCCAGGACACCGAACATCTGGTAGAGGCCCGAGGCCTCGTTCACCCGCTTGATGATGGCAGTGGTGAGCTGTGTCACCGGGCGGAGCGCGGATGGCCAGGGGACGCCGTGGTGGCGGTTCTCCAACAGGCGGTGGACTGCGCGAGCTGAGGCGTTAAGGAAAACAAAGACGGGTTGGTTAAAAATCCAGACTTCGGTATAAAAAAAAAATCTCATCGTTCTGTTGCACACGGATTGTAGTAGGACGTGATAAAGAAGCTGACGAGCTCGTCTGTGTGCAGGATCTGCCACCCAGCCCGCTGCTAACTGCAGTGGAGATGCCCTCGGAAAGCTGATGCGGTGCTGAGCGGTTGGTGAGGGGGAGAGGGGTCCCTGGGGATGTTTTTTTTTTTTTTTTTACTCCTGAGCAGGCCTTGCAGGGGAAGGACGCCCGCACAGACACTGAAATTCGCCCGCCTGCTCAAGCTGCCGGGTTTTAGCTCCGCAGCGCAGCCCTCTCACCCACAGCTTGTCACCAGGCTGAGTGTTTGGCAGGCAGAAATCTATTGTTACGCAACTGAGAGACAATGGGCAGCAAAAGTACAAGACAAAACAAAGACAGACAACCACAGGCTTCAGATATGACCCTGAGTCACTTCCACGGCCTCCCCTCCCCTGTGCAGCTGCAGCTTGGCTGCGTTTTGTTATTCCTGCTGCCAGCCGAGGATTCAGGGTCATCCCTTTCCAGCAGCGAGCTCTGAATTGTTCCTTCCAAGGGAGCGGCGGCCCCCAGCCTCTGCCCTTCTGCACACCCCAGCACTCACTTGTGTAGCGGAAGCCGTGGATGAAGCCCCCGGCGGATTTCCTGAAGTCGATGGAGTGGCTAGCGGTACCGAGAACAAAAAGCCCCCGCGCGCCTCTGGACTCGTAGCTGGGTTTGATCTGAGGATATTTGTTTTTGTTCCCTCTTCCCGGCATCATTCGAAGAGATCTGACGTGCAAAAGAGAAAGAGCAGGCTGTCAGGAAGGGCAGGGGTGGAAAAATCAAAAGGGTTTCTGATACTGAAGACACAACAAGAGTGCTTCGTGTCCCCACTGCCTTCCGGGGGATTCACGAGTCTCCCACGTGCGTAACATCACCAAGGACCTTCCAGAAGGCAGGGGTTCATCTCCAGCTAGCTGTGGCCACCATCAAATTCCAGCCTGTACAGCCTGGAGTACAGGTTGCATCCTCAGGACAAAAAAGCAGACAAAACCTTGCTGCAGGAGCTGCCCATCCTCACCCCAAAACTTCTGCCCTTCTCCAGGTGACCTGGCAGGTCAGCAGGTTGAGCTGTGCAGGCACAAACTTTTTCAGCATCGGCCAACCGTGCCCTTCCCTCCCCTTCCAGGTCAGGCCCTTCATTATTTTTTGCTACAAATACCCGTTTCCCCCAGGCCCTGCTCGGCCCTCACCTATTGTAGATGGAGAAGTCAAACTTCCAGCCCAGGCAGCGGATGACACGGTCGTAAGGTGCGCGGGTAGCAAAATTATCCAGCTCGTCCTGGGGGAGGGTGACGGAGTCGACGCCTGCACTCGTGTTCCTGTTCTCCAGGTAGAACCGCAGCGTGATGTGCAGCTTCCCCTTCTTGTCCTTGACGATGGCCAGATCTTCCAGGTCCCCCTCCAGAAGCCCATCCAGAGATTTCAGCTGGTACGTGTCCAGCAGGCCGTTGTTAATTGCTCTACGATGAAAGGGGAAAGGAAGAAAAGCTACAAGAAGGACGGAGAGGTGGGACCCGAGGCTTGGGGTCAGCTTCTGGGAACGGGACAAGTTTACCAGGAGAGGTTTATCCCTCGTTCCTCACCCCTGTGAGCCATTCGTGTGCTCATTAATGCCCTAATTCTCGCCGCGTTCCCTGGCTGCAGCAGCACTATTTGCCTCGCTGAAAGACGGGGTGGAGAGGCACAGAGCGCGCTCGCTGTCAGCCCAGGAGTCGGCAGCAGAGCAATTAACCACACGCGGGTCTGCCGAGCCCCAGGCTTAATCTCTGATCACAGCGCTGCCCTTGTGTGAGGCACGCAACATCTGAGCTCTCTTCTGAGATTGCAAGCAGGGGAACAACTCAGGAGGAGCACTTCTCAGCGATGCAAATTCCACAGGAATGCTTTCCTGTTTCACGCCAGCCTTGAAGAGCTCTCGTAAAGCTCCTGTGTTCAACAGCAGCAGCCTGGGCTGCTTTAAACCCAGGACCTAAAGGTAAAAGGCCCCACGTTCCCTCAGCAAACCCCAAAATTGCCGAGCCTCCTCGGCACGCAGCCACTCTCACTTCAGATTCATATTCCAGCT